AACAGTTTAATTATTTGTTGGTTAACTTGTTTACTGGTTAACTTCTGCATTCATTGCGTGGTCTTCAAGGTATTCTTGCTAGTACTTCAGTCGCTTCAAACGTTGTTTTGAAACGCAGTCTAGGTTAGGGTTCATATTATATGGTAAGGAACCAGATATTACAACATGTACAAATGTCTTAAGAAAAAAAGAAAATATTAGATATATAATCTCCTACATGATTAAATTAATAAATGCGCATATTTTGTGTAATTGTTGGGGATTTATATGTGGCATTGATAATGCTAGGGAGATCAAAATTTTAAACCAAATTTGCAAACCAAATAATGTGTCAGGTTAATCAACACTTAAGTAGTAATCAAATCATCAACATCCACATTATTTGATTTAAAAAATTTTGTTTAGAAATTTGGTCCCCCTAGCGTTACCCATGTGACATATATGTTATTTAAATACAAGGAGTTTGTATGTCAATTGGTTAAATGAATTTATTCAAGTACTCAAAATTTTGTGATCAACTCCCCTTCTTTCTAGGCCAATATCTCTTTCAATGCATAAAACATATACGGGAATTCTAAGCTTACTTGTAGCAATGGTTCTTGAATTTTATCTCTAATTTAATTTTAATTTTTGAACTCTCATATTAGTTTTTTTAGTTCTCAAACTTAACAGTGTATTTTTCCATTGATCATTTTCATTAACTCTATCTATTTTTCCGTTAAATTTAAGAATATATTGGGATATCGAAACACTTCAACAACAAAATCATTTATCAATCCTAGTATATACATTCTAGGCTTCTAGCGGGTGTGGTCCAACCGTCCAAGCATGCACATTGATGCACACTGAGAAGCAATGTGCGTAGAAGCCATAGATATCTTTCTGAGTCTGTGACCAAGCCTAGCCTAAGATATGTCTGCATGCCTTACTTCCAGAAGACAGCTAGAATATATCGTGTTTCCAAGTCAAATATTGGGAATATCAGTCAGATCGGTCAGCAGTGGCCACGCAGAGACAACCTGCCGACAATTCATGTGTGGTCCATCAATAATCCCTAAAATACGGACCTGGCTCTCGGTTCTCATAAATTTTCATTTTCTTTTATTTATGTAGTCACAGTCAAATTATGTCAATATTTTATATCATTATTATTTTTTATCTTATTATCTTTATAAAAAAAATAATATAAAATATTAACGTAAATTAATTGTAATAACACAAAATAGAAGAAGATGAGAATGTATTGAAGTGGGAGGGCCCGGTCCCCTACAATATATGTCTTGTATTGCATCTGCGCCACTTCTAAGTACAGGTCTGATTCGGCGGTTGACACTATTGACTAAGTTGTTGTGGTTTTTAATTTTTTCGTTATCTATTTACAAAATTATAACTTCTATTTAATATATTATGATGAGGATTGTGTCAATAGAAAACAAAGGTCGAATCCGTCAATGGATCGGCCATTTGTGAGTAGTTGATAAGTCTCCCGACTACTTTTCCTTTTTGACGGGAAAGTAAGTGATTTTGTTTTATTTTGTTTTTCATGACTTCCAGAGGATTGGAAAGATACGTTTACGATGAAAATGAGCCACGACGGGCGGTGGCAGGTTTTATTGCGTCAGTTAACAACTCTTTTATTTATGTTGTGTCGTTTTAAATCTGTTGTATTTGGAGTTTAGACTTGTTATTAGCTATGTTTTGGTCGGATAATTGTTTACTGTTTTATAATTAGTAATGACTCATAATTTTTGTGTCAAATATTCATCGTTTTCATGTTTATCATCCGTTAAACATCATTGTGTGTCATATTTGATTGAATTGTGCAGGAAATGTTAAATGAGAAGATTGTATTTGGAAATGTAAAAATTACCTTTATATTCTATTTACAGTTGCCAGTGAATTAAATAATGAAACAAAAATAATGAATATACCGTATATACGATACAGAGGAGTATCTTTAAATTTAAAATATCACTAATTATAAATCATGTTCCATGTATGACACACAACATTTTGTTCTAGGCTCCGACTCATTTTAAAGAAATGACATGGTAACATTAGAATATGTATGACAAACCATTACACAAATATGTACGTGAACTGGTTTTGTTTTAGGCACATATTTCATTTCTTTCAAGCTTCAATTTGATAGGAAATTGTCTCGCCTTCAATAATATACCATAAAATGCTTAAGAAATATTTAGCATTTTACGTACACAATAATTACATATGTTTAACAGTAAAATCGAGTTATCTTAAATGGGATGTTGGACGAAACTAAATATATTTAGTAGCAAATAAGAGGAATGAAGAAACCTATGAACACCATGATTTCTAATTTGCATGGGGTGACACTCGACAACAATGAGGCCAATTGGGTCACCGACAAACGCTTGTTCAAGTGCAAAGTGTGTAATAAAGTGATCATCTCCCAACAAGCCTTGGTGGTCATAGCTAGCCACTAAAAGGTTAGGATGGAAATTGATAGGATTGAAAACGGATGTCGTTTAGACTATCGATTATAATATGGTGTGAAGGATATGAATAGAGAATGATTATGAAATTGAATGAATCTGACAGAAAAGGACTTGACAAATATATAGAGATGGAAATAACATTTGTGGAGGAGTTGTATTGTTCAAAGGAAGTTATAACTTTTGATGTTGAAATACAACTGTTCATATCTTTTTAGAATTAAATAAATAAATTATTTCTTTTATTAATTAATTAACTTATTTCACTATAATCATATGTATATTAATACACCAATATTATGGTGTACCTTCACACATTATGAAAACCATTTTATCATAAGAGCAAATCCACCATGTGGAGTAGCCCCAGCGACATGCCCCAAAACAAAGAGCAGTAGCCCGAGCAACCATGTCCAGCCCATCCGAGCAATTGCACAGGAGCGGGCCTGAGCAAGAGGCCCAACAAGAATCGCTGGCCCGAGAGCCCGAGGTGGGTATGATGCAACGCTGGCATCAAGGCAACGTCAACCTGGTTTTAATATTTTTTTTAGTCAGGTGCGTGCATTACAAGTGCGCGTGGGGGCGCGTCCCCGACCAGTTTCAAACGCTAGGGCCCGCAGTGTAGGCTTGTGCAATGTTACCGTTGGAGGCCACATGGCAATTCATCGTCCGTTGGATTTCCAACGGTAAACAAAAAAAATTCAAACTGTCATTAATTTCAGACATTGGATCTGAGATCAATGGTCCATGTTATTCGGCTTTATAAATTAAAAAAAAATAATAAACAGTTTAAAATTATGAAAGCTTACCGTTGTGCCACGTGGCATAATCTGGGGTGTTAGAATTCAAAATTTTTTTTAATCCAATGGCAGAAATTAATTATGTGAATAAATAATTAATAAAAATCCGAAATTTTGTTTTTGCAAAATAAAAAAAAAATTTTTCTTTTTGCATAATGACACGTAGCGCAACAAGAACGATTAAAAATATTATCTGAAATTACAAATAAAATTATTTTATATTATTTTATAAATAAATAAAATATTATTAATTTATTATCTATTACCAGGTGTAGGGGTGAATGTGATATCCCACATCAACCAGATGAGTGATCCTTAAATGTATATTCTCATCCTTACCTAGCACAAGGCCCTTTGGGAGCTCACTGGCTTTGGGTTCCGTAGGAACTCCGAAGTTAAGCGAGAAAGGGGGCTAGAGCAATCCCATGATGGGTGGCCCACTGGGAAGTTGCTCGTGAGTTCCCAAAAACAAAACCGTGAGGGAATGGTAAGCCCAAAGCGGACAATATCGTGCTACGGTGGTGGAGCAGGCATGGGAAGTGATCCGTCCCGGGCCGGGATGTGACAGTGAAGATGTAAAAGATAATTATTGTTCACTGAATGGATTAAATAGTGAATAACCTTATAGTGAATAACCCTATAGTGAATAACCCTAGGGGGCTTAGCACGGTGGAGTTGCTCTAATCATATTCCAACAGGTTAAGTTGTTCTTCGCTGCCCGGCTTGATCACTTTGAAGACAGTGGCCCATATTGATGATGATATCATCACACACGAATGGTTATTCCCAAATAAACCTAATTCAACATTTCAGTCCGATGGTGGGTTGAATTATACCATTAGTCTATGCCTCAACGAGAAAATCCAGGTTGCGTGAATTTTCAATATATATGACACAAGATTTTCTCTTTATGCTCTTTGAAAATTATGGTTGCTCACATCATCGTAAATTTCCTTGCAACTACGAAACTTTTGGGTTCTACGACGTAAATCTCTTTGGAGGTATAAGAATTTTGGGTTTTGGAACAACATATCCTATCTCTTTGTCACTGACGAGTCTGCTTCTTCACTGAACTTAGAGCTTCAGATCATTTTGGTTGTCTTTTACGTAAAGTGAGGATTTAAGTGAAACCATCCTAGTCATCGGGTGCTCGTAGCATTCAAAATTACATTACACGTGTAAAAAATATGAGTTGAGTAGAAGTAATTGAAAATGTAGTATCTTTTTTCTTTTGTAGCTTATTTTTTGGTATAACCCTGTAACTTTACTTTGGTTTTATCTTGCCTCAAATTTCTCCAATTTGCACTTTGTGACTCAATTTTTGTTAATAAATCTGTTAAAACTCTAACGTGGCATGAGTATAGCCCGACTACCGGTGATATGGCTGCTCCATCACTTAAATATATAGTCAATGTTTTCTGTCGGATATAAATACTTGAATCAAATGAAAAAACAAAACATAAAAAAAAATAATAATAAATAAATAAATAAATAAAAAGAGAGCTACTGCATAAGGCTTTCTGGTCCTAAACTTGCAGAAGCAAAAGAAGAAATTAATGGAGATTTCTCAGATTTACAGTGTGCAAGATTGCATCCTAAAGGATCTCTCTGCAGTCTGCAGTGTAGAATGCTGAATTTGTGCAAGCAGACGAACTCTTTAAGCATGCTCTTATAATCCACCAAAAATATCAAACAAAATACGAGAAACTTAGGATAATGCTTCAGATATGGGGATGGGGTGTGCAGTGCAGAGCACACTAATCATATTAAGCAAATATCAATTATTTCTCTAATCCAAAGTACCCGAAACCAGTGTCGGTGTCTAAAAAAAAAAAAGCGGTACGTGCCACAAAATCTCATTGCAATACACGATTTCTATAACATAATTCAGCCACAAAGAGCAAAACTTCCGACACTAGGCATCACATGATCATAAGTTCTTAAAACCCGACTCACGAGTTTCTTTCTGCGGGGTCAGTCTTGCTAGCAAAGCCTTGTTATGACAATGATCTGCGTCCACGAAGTAAAAGTTTCCATTGGCCTTAAAAGTCACAAAAGGCCTATTGGTTTCTGCTGGCCGGATATCAGAAAACTTAATCGTCCTCGGAATGTAGTGTTGCAAGCCATGACATCATTTCCACCTCAAAACTGTCTGAACCAGGCTTCCACTTGAGCTTGTGAATGTATGGTGTCACGAACCAGTGAAGAGCGGCTGTGGTAGAAGCACTCAAGAATATCACTGAAGATGCCACTGCACCCTTCAAGATCACATTCATACCTGGAGATGTCATAAAGGTTATCACAGGACCTAGAGATACAGAAAGGCAGCAGGTCGACAGCGAGAGAAGTTTCACTTTCTTGATAGTAGATGAGATTGGGCCATAGTAAACAACCCCAGAGTCCTTTTCATCTTCCCCAATTTCGCCACCCCTGCGAGGTCCAATGCTGATTTTGCCATCATCTTCTCTTGTTGTGGCATGAGAAGCCCATCTTTTCTGCGAAGAATTGATCTCGAAGCCAGAGTTGAAACCCAGTTTAGTGTTCAGACTAGCAGCCCATGCTGCAGACCTGCACGGCTGATAACCTGAAGAAAAACATTTTACCATCAGTAATAGTGACAGATATAAATAAAAGGAGAGGAAAATCAAATGAGGGAAGATGGAGTTTTGGATAGAAAAAGAATTCAGAACAAAAGAATTGGAAAGGTGAGGAACATGCAAAAGAAATAACAAGCGAGTGAGAGAGAGAGAGTTGGGGGGGGGGGGGGGGTGGTTTCAGGTGAGCACGCATTAAAGACAATGCAAATTACTAAAACAATGACATCAAAATCTCATGGGTAGAACTTGATCTAGATTCCAAGGATCACAGAAATTACAATTTTAGCATATCAAATACAACTTTGCTACCCAAACAGCTCAACATTAACAATTTATAAACATAGGGCTTCGGCACTACTAGAACGCTTCACCAACTTGAAGCACCTAACTATGAGAATATACGGGAGTCTCCGGAGATCTTAATAAAATGTTGACCCGTTTTTGTTTCTATGCTGCCCTCTCTCCATGTTTCGAGAGAGCAAAGATGGATTCTATCCCCTATATTCACATAAGCTTCACTTGAAAGAGAAAAAAGCAGATTAATAACTGCTATCAATCATACGATTATCACGGAAGCTTTCTCCAAGGAACATTATCAATTACTAATCGAAAACTAAAGTTAACAGTTGATACAATAGTAGAAAAGGTTAAAAAGGGAAACTGAAGATTGCCGGCAGAACAGCATCGACAGTCACCATATCCAAAACTGTGTTAGAACCTAGCAGTAATACACTCCAACACACTAATTAAGTTAGTAAAACCGAAAGCGGTCCAATTTCTAGAGAACATGCATGTGGGGAACACGAAAAACACTTTGAATTAGGAAAAAGGGTTCCCAGAAAATAGCAAAAACCTCAATTGGATGCCAACAAACCCGTTTCTCATCGACAAATTAACACATGGAATTTGCCAAAACCAGAAGCCAAGCCAAAAGTGTGCACCTTTTTACCAAATTTATTAATTTAGTAGAAGAAGATCCAGAAAATGGTCTCTGAAATCAGAAATAAATATGGGGAAATTGAGCTTGTTCTGATTCTTTTGGAGTGGTCAATTGGGTAGAGCATGCACTTTGGGTTCTTCGTATACTTCATTTATTTCGATTAAATTTGAAATGAAAAATGAAATTGAGAGATAGAGAGATCTTAAACCCTAAACCCAAATCGGTAGAGAAATTTAAGAGAGAGAGAGAGAGAGAGAGAGAGAGAGAGGAAGGGAGAAGAACCTGAGCGGAACCTTGAGGATGCGAGGTGTCTGGACTGTGATCGCAGCCACTGAAAGAGAGCCGCTCTCGTCATTTTTGATCCGATTCCGAGCTACCAAGAAAACCAATTTTCAGGGTTTAACACCTCAAAAGAAATCTGACCCAAAATGATAAAATTGCACAAATGGACTTCAACTTTTCCAATTTCATGAAATTACGAACTCAACTAAATTATTTACACTTAACCACCCAAATTTCAGGCGGTGTTTCAATGTGGCATCCATTTAAACTTGGGAATTTTAACAAAAAGCTTCCGGTATTATTCACTTTAACAAAAAATCACATTTTTACACTAAAAAATCAATCATGGTACTATTCACTTTACCATTTATTTTGTCCTTATTGTTAAAACTCAAAGTTTTCAAGCTCTTTTCATTAGGTTTCCTTTTAAACTTCACAATTACAGACATCAAAATTTCGGTGAAACAAATATTAACCAATGCGTTAAAATTTTAATATTCACGTGTCACATAAATTTTACACGTAGCGTGTGAGTCAACGAAAAATCGAAAAAAAAATCAGTATGAGTTGTCAAATAGGACACGTTCCCAAAATTAATACAAAATATTATTTTGTACACGTGTTTTTGTTTCATTCAGCGCAAGAATATTCATGTTTACAACAATAACCATTTTTGATGGGCCCTTGTGAAGTTTGATAAGTTAATTGCTGTAAAATAATTTCATTCATGTGGTAACTTTCATAAAAGCGAAAACATCAAATGGTCGTTCATGCAATTTTATCCATATAGGAATGTTTCTTCCTGTATAATTGTTGTGAAATAGAATAAAGTGAAGTTACGAACGTCAGCGGGCATTTGGTCTAGTGGTATGATTCTCGCTTAGGGTGCGAGAGGTCCCGAGTTCAATTCTCGGAATGCCCCCTTTTTTTCTTTAACATCTTGCTGCTTTTGGGTTTTTCACTATGCCGCCAGGCTTTCTAGTCCTTCTAGACAAATAACCTTCCAATTCATCTTCTCTCTTTTTAGTCGGATTTAACCATTTTCTTCTCTTTTGACTTCTCTTCCGAACTTTCGGGGTATTGTCAAATTAGAATTTTGATGGATTTGACTACCGAAGTGTTGTCAAACTAGAATTTTGAAAGATTTTAAAATTTTAAGATATTCAATTAGAATTTTAAGTTTATAAATTTATGTGTAGTCAATTGCGATTTCGAAAATGTTATTCTTATATTTATATCATCCTTCTAATGGATTCACTCTCTAATGTATTCACATGTATTGGTGGCTTTACCTCTATTAAAAAGATGATATAAATGATGGTACAAATAAGTGGTAAGTTTAACATTACTTTTAGGATTTTGAAGATTTTAGATCAGTGTTATACTTATCATCTATTTGTATCATCTTTTTAATAAATGATAGCAAATGATAAGAATAATATGGTTGTATATTTTAAGCATCTGTATGCAAATCTAGGTAGGTTTCATTAAATTGTGGATTTTAGTAGATTCTAGGATAAAAAATACATATGTCTAGGTTAGGAACAACGAGATCAAATCTTCTGCATCTAAAATAGGTGTGACTTTTCTGTAATCCTAATTATTGTTTGACACATATTAACTTTATAAATACAAAATTCAGAAAAATTAAGTTTATAAACACCAATTATTGAAGCCACGTATAAGCCACATTGCAGAAGATTTGACCTTACGAAGAACCCACCATTCCCCAAAGATTTCATTGGATCCTCCTCCTCTCTCCACCCAAACCTTACCGGCGTCTTTTCGCCTAACCCACACCCTGGCACCCACTGCTCACCCCTCCTATCAGCACCACCACCACCGGCACCTCCTCTTTCCGGTCTCCCTTCAAATACTTATATAATATCTTACTGTGTTGGGTCTAATGAGCATACGACCATATTGCATTCCGCCAATATATTAGTTTTTTAATGTCTAAAAGGAAACATATAAGAAACTATTTAGATAAATGACAACAAAATATCTGAAAATCCATACAAATCTACAAAAATATCCCCCACAATCCTCAAAAAGACCATTTGGATTCTACTAATCTCATCAAATCTGCAGAAAGTATCTTTTAAAATCCTCTTAAATTATAATTTAATACATCTCTTAATCTCCTTTTCCACTTATTTTTCAATAAAATCTCAAGTCACCAAGTTGTTGTTCATCCAGAAGCTCCAAAACCAACACCACCAACGCTACGTCGCCACTCCCACCCCATATATATACAAGCAAAGGTGCTCTCCCCTAATCACCAAACGCAACCAACAACACAAACAAATCAATCGCACCACTACCCAGACCACAAAGATGGAAACTTTCTCAGATTCCCAGCAGCAAGAAGTCGAGGAAGATGCGCTTTCCCTCTGCGATCTCCCGCTACACGACGACAATGGCGAATCGGAAGAGAACCCCAGAATCTCCGCTTCTTATTCCTCCGCCCCGGACGACCTTTTTGAATTTCGGGTCGACCCGATCCGGAGATACATCCCCGTGGACGTCGTTTTTTGCGGGAAACCCATTCCCCCTCGGACCCAAGAGCCCCTGTTCGAAAACCCATTGTTCTCCCGGCCCGAATCCTTGAAGTTTTCATCTCCCTCCCACCCTTACTCGCACCGGTCACCGGGATCGGAGCTGGTGCGGGCTTTTGGGAGCTGCCGGTTGCACCAGCAGTCGAGCAATTCGCGGAAGCACAAGGTGTTCATAGGATTGGTGAAGTACCAGCCGGAGATGGACATGAATGAGATTAGGAAGCGGCAGAGTCGGCGCGCTCCGGCGCCGATGTTTCCGGTGAAAAGCGGCGGAGAGCAGCCGAGTGTAGCCTGTGGGAGGAGTGGATCCGGGAAAGGGCACTGGGGGCTGACGAGGCCGCTGAGGTGTCGGTTCCACTTGTTAGGCGCGTTGGCTAAGGTGACTCATGGTTGTGTGCCACGTGTCTGAATGGGTCGTCTTTGGTGGGGGTGGGGAACTTGGACTTAAGACGTGGATTAGTGGGTTCCAAGTCATGGACTCCGAAGGATAATTTAAATGAACGAGGAGATCCACTTTGTAAAGATCTCGAAGATCCTCAAATTTTGAATGTTCATCCTGCTAAAAATTATTTTAAATTATTTTATTTAAAATTAAATATGAATAATATTTGAAGAAAATTGATCATCCAATATATGATGAACGGACACAATTTGATGATCTCTAGGATCTTCACAAAGAGAATTTAAATTTAGGCTAAATAGCCAAAGTGGTCACTGAGATATACATAACACATCACTTTGATTCCTGAAATTGAAAATCAATAAAAATGGTCCCTGAGATTATCCATTATCCATCATTTTGATCATTCCGTTAAAAACTCTTTGGGCAATTTTCAAAGTTTCGTAACTTAATTGTTTCTCAACCAAATTCGACCCATATATATCAAACTGAAGATAGGAAAGTGTAGAACAAGGTTATACCTATTTGGAAGCCCAATGGTTGCTGAAGATGGTCGGAAAATAGGCTCAAAATTGATTGGTCCGCGAAAAAATTGGAAAACTCCCCGGAAATTGAGTAAACTTTAAACGTTCATAACTTCTTCAATACTCAACGAAATTGAGTGATTCAAAAATCTAAAATCATACTTCTTGACGAGACGAAGAGAATGGTACCTTTCTTGATGGCTAATTCACCGTAGTTTGGCTTGAAAACGGCTCAAAAGTGGCTAACCATTTTCGAGTTAGCCTGGTTAGCCACTTTCGAGCCGTTTTCCGGCCAAAACACGGCGAGTTAGCCATCAAAAAAGAAGAACATTTGAAGTTTACTCAATTTTCCGAGAGTTTTTCAATTTTTTTGCGGACTAGTCAACTTTGAGACTATTTTCCGGCTATCTCCGGAAACCATTGGGCTTCCAAATGGTATAATCTTGTTCTACACTTTCCTATCTTCATTTTGATATATTATAAGTCGAATTTGGTTAAAAAACGATTGAGTTACGAAGCTTTAAAAATTGCTCAAAGAGTTTTTAATGAATGACTAAAATGATGGATGGTGGACAATCTCAGAGACCATTTCTATTGATTTTCAATCTCAGAAACCAAAGTGATGTATTATGCATATCTTAGGAACCATTTTGGCTATTTAGCCTTAAATTTAAATGCCAACATTTATATTCTTAAATAAAGTTTAGATTAATATCTGTACAAGATTTAAAATTGAGTTTAGTCCTTTTTGTTTTTGTTTTTTTTTTTTTTTGTCAAACAAAATGTCAAATTATAAGAATCAAAATACAATTGATGCTTGATGTGACAATCTGAAGTCGTATGTCAAATTTTGTACTTCTCAAATAGAATTGTCAAATGTTATTTTATCATTTAAATAGAGCTTCAAATAGTTGTAATTATTAAAAAAGTGTTAAAATAACATTTTTATTGGTTGAAATGTTACTATAATAGAGAACCCACAATTAAAATAAATTTGACATTGAAGACAAATTTGACTCCAAATCACAAAGTCTTCAGATCCAATCAACAAATAACACTATGGTGAGAGAGATTTTTTATATCAAATATGCATAATGGCATTCCACCTAGGATTTTTGACATCTCCTTTGGAGATGTGCTTAGATGTTAGATTAGTCACTGCCGACGGAGTTCGAGCACACTTTGTCATGCAAAGACACTTTTTCACTACTGTGGTAAAGGGTCACTTGCATTTAGTCATTTGATTTTATTTAAATGCTAGCATTTATATTCTTTGTCATTTTATTTTTATTTTTTGATAATTTTATGATTTTTCGTTTTCTAAGTCTACACTAATTCATTATAATATATTTCAGTACAGATATTTAGGTACACTAGTTCATTATAAATATATTTTGTCACAATTCAAGTATGTAGGTACACAAATTCATTATAATATAGTTCGATACATATATTTAGTACAAATATTTAATGACACAAATTCATAATAATAAAATTTGATACAAACATTTCCGTACAAATAAGTCAATTTGATATATTTCGGTACGATCATTTCAATACTTATGCATTTACATACTTTCCTTACATGTCACTTCATTTATTTTAGTTTATACATATTAATAAAATTAAAATTTTAACGAAGACATTAAATAAAAAAATAGAATATGAATTTT